ACAAGACGTGCTGAATGCTATGAAAAAGTCTACATATTAGGGAAAGAAAGGTGATTATTGGTAATGATATAGACAGAGAGCAATTCATTAAGGGACAACTTGAACCGGTATTCAATGTGCGCAGAGTCTATGTCAAGCGTGTTTGTTGTTGCAAAACTCTCAGGAATACGCGATTCCAGTCATGGAACCGACTTCCTCTTATCCGAGGAATAAGCATAAGCCACCATGCACAAATCTGACTCCTCTATCCCGTTTTAAGCATTACTGATAAAGACTGCTGCCACGTAGTCACCACATCCACGCTGTGCGTGCGCGCAAGCAGGTACGCGAACAGCTATTTCGTGTGGAAGGGGCAGGGACGAATGATGCACGATTAAGACGAGAATAAGCTTGTACTAAACATTCTTCTCTAGAGCGATTCGCTAGGGCATGGTTATTACTAATTAGGCTCACCCAATTTAACTTAGTCGTCACATTCTAATGCACATTGTTCTTTACAGATTACGTGCCAAGGAGAAGGCAACAATGAACTAAGCAAATATAATGAGCGAAAAAAACTATTTGACGAGACATGAATTGGTTCCTCTTTATGCAAACTCATTGCTAATCATATTGCAATTGGTTGCAGATTCGATCCTGTCTAATGCTAGCATAGGCCGAACGCCAGATACCAATGGTGGGATAATTTGAAGAAAAGTGGATCTATTAAAACAAGTAGAGCTTGAAGATATTCGACTTAAGAATTGGAAGTGTAGCCTTATCTGATTTATCAGTGAGGGTAATCACTCATAACTCAAGGAGTCAATCGCTCTCAGCGAATCTTACCACAGCTCTACCAACATGAAGTGCGGTTGTGGAGCAGCCAATTTTTAACGCAATGGAAAGTGGTAAAACATGAGCACATACCTATAATACATTGGTAGATGAGTATTTGAGTAAAACTGCAGGAAAAGTACTTAAGTATATTACTGAAAATTCGAAAAGTTGCTAAATTGAACAATTGAAAGTCAGGTATGTACCCATTTTTTTACCAGCCACCGGACCTGTAGGTGTATGTGGCCTCCTTTATTGCACGTTCCTATATGCTGGCAATAAGGACGCCTTTATTCTCCTGTTTGAGAGCAGAAACTGAACGATGGGGCGGGTCGTGTATTCTGTGCAAGGTCACGCTTCTCTTAACACCTCACCCAACACAGACATAATGCATGGTGTCAGAGTATTATCAGCAAATAATCTCTGCACTTCTCCCACTAATCCTTCTCGTGTTTTTCATCAGTTCTTACTATTAATCAATCTTTGCCCATTGCAGCCCCTTTAGGAGGGCAAATAACTTGGTAATTCCTAATAACTTCTGCCTTTCTTCTATTCGAGAAGCTAATATAGGCGTTTTCTCTTCTTCTATGTGGCTGCGTCACGATTAAAAATATGCTCAATGCATTCACACTCATTCATACTCAACCCCCCTTCTAATACTCATTTTTGCTTTTTGTTTGCTTACACACCAACCCACCTTGCCTTTTTACGCAAATGCCTTTCTTTTCCCCCCACACCTCTTTTCCACTTTTTTTCTGTCCAATTCCTATTCACGGAATATCGATATCCTAATGCAACTCGATGGACAACATGCACTTCTAGACGCCTGTTTTGTGGTCTTAACTCACCCTTAGTGTTAGCTCGACTGCTCTCTCGCACGTCCAGTCTACTGCCACTAGCGTTGAGAGCAATGTAAAAGAAGACAAGGTAGGAGATAGAGAAAACGAAGAGGGCGAAGACAGGGGGAACGGGGATGAGGTGGAGGAAGAAAGTATGGAAGAAGTGAGGAAGCAAAGAGCAAGGATTTGATGGGTCAGGAGTAGGAGCAAGTGCTTGACTCAACGAGGAGGTGAATAGGGCGTTCTTCGGGACGGTGGGACATGTCACTATTCCTAAGCATCCATGCATATTCGTCATTCGCATCCATGCGTCTCCATCATTTCAGATTATATTATCTCCCTCTTTAGCCCTTTTTGTTATGTCAATAAATCAAACTTTGTCTGTTTTGTGGATCTGGCAAGCCACAAGCAGTGAGTTGCTCATGGTGGTTAGCCTTTAGTACAATAAATACACTCAAATGCATAGAACTAGCACATGGCGTAGTCTCTACTGTTTGGCGAATCAGCCGGTCATTTTTCAGTTACCGACTGACGGTACTGTGCACGCGTACCCTGTCTCCGCTTGCTCATTCGTACACGTCAACAATGAGGACGACTTGAGCCACGAAACGATGCAGGGCCGAGGGCAGACGATGAACAACATGAAGGTGATTGTATTCATTGGAGTGTCACGTGAATGGAGGGGAGAGCAAAGAAGAGGATTGTGGATGTGTTAAGACATGTCAAGTTAAAAGGGCGAAGGCGTTGGTCAGGAAAATTAGACAGAGTGGACCACGGTGGCTGACAGTAGTACATCTTGCCTAACGCTGAGCTTCTACTGACCGACTTTACATTCCTCTTTCACCGAATATTGTCGCCCTGGAACAATCTTCATGACTAATGTGTTTTCATCCTCTTACTTCACTTTTGTCTCTAACTATCGCACAGTACCTGTTGTCAGCTCTTTACTCACAACTCTTTGATGTCTCTTTTCTCACAACTTTCTGTGTATACACATCAGTCCTTGTCAATCCTAGCCCCTGGCGCAAGTGCGAGTGACCAAATGCCTTAACATCTTGCGTCTTTTTCTTATTATAAGGTTTGCAGATGACAGTCTAAGTAAAAGTGGCTCATAACTTGATAAGGTAATTGAACTCGATCGCGGCATGATTTAAGTGGTCTCGTTAGGGTCCAGAAGGTGTTTGAGTTCAATCACGCAGTGGCCACCTTGGCAAAGAAATATGAGTGATTAATGTGGGCAGGCTTGGGACAGCGGAGTGAGGAGTGAAACGATGATTACCATTAGGGGCTGTCTGCGAGCCTAAAATACTTGCGACAGTCATGTCCATGTGTTCGCCAGGCGTCACGTATATGTGACATGTGCTCCTTGCACGAAATTTCCTCCGGATGGCTTACCGCTGCTCAACGAAGACTTTGCTGAGCGACGAGTTTTGTACAGTAGAGAGTCTCACCGTAGTCCATTGTCTGCATGATTAAAGTGGTCCTGTCAGCGTCCAGAAGGTGTTCTAGATAGCCAGATGCCAGTGTTCCTTCGTGAGGGAGGACAAGTTTCAGGCCATTTGTGAGTGCAGGCGCGTATAATTCGTCACTGAGAAGTTTGCTGAGACAGAGTGCATCGTTGGTACAGCTGTAGTGTGAATTATTGTCACCACTGAAAGGGGTGCAGTCTATTGCTCCTTCGTGTAGCACCATCATCATCTGCAGTGATTTGCTCATTGCCCAAAATGCTGCAGCCCAATTCATTGGCTCAAATACAAATGCTGCCAATGTGGACATTGTCATTGATAAATACGGTAAGTAGTGCCAATGCGAAAGTCCACTTAGGATGCATCATGATTGATCACACTATCGCCTTAGTACGCAGTAGTTGTAATGACTGAAATAGCCCTGTGAATTGATTCCCCTAATCATTTCTCGGGCCTTCTGCAGATAGCTTCCTTAAAGAAGCTTACCATTAATTTGGTCACGCAAGAGTCTCAAAGAAAATGGATAGGACGTCCTTTTGCCTTGAAAGAATAAAAGAGCCATTTTTGATCCACAGGATAAGAAACGTGTACCTAATTCTAGGGTGTGGCACGGAGCGCCCCGAATAGGATGTAGGAATTGGTTGCCTGCCGCGAATGTTGTAGAGTGGGATTGCCAGCATATCCCTAAGCTGTTCCATTACGAATTTTGCCAGCCCGATGAGTGAAATGACAACCTTGCCGTGGAACTTTTAGTGTAAATTGGGGGGGCAAACTCCGCGTCTGAGCTCAACTTTTATCCATTTGGCGGGCCTTTTTGAAGGTTAGTTGTGGAAGGTTTGTTTTACTAGAGGTTGGCAGTCGTCTCCGTTCACCTTTCGTCAGCGATAAAGGGACCACCATCTGGTGAATGTCTGTCTGTCGATGACGAGTTGGGGATAGGAAGTGTATCATCCTTTTAAATTAGTGTTTAGCATTTTACTGTCCTCTATGGCGACCACGAATAAGATTTTAGAAGGGTTCGTAAAATCTGTGTGCTCGTTGACTTTCAAGTAGAATAATTCTGACACCAATTTTGAATTGCTTCGTACTTGAAAGGGGGAAGAGAGGTGTGCCTACGCCGTCACTTAGAATAACGTATTTGGCAGCCACATCTTTTACCTCATACATCATCTAGCCTTTTGTACGACTACTTTAAAATCAGCAAATGATTACATTGAATCTTCTTCCTTTGTGTCATAAGTGATTTCATTTATTTTATTACTCATTAATTTATTCGTCCCTATTTTTTGATCTAACTTGATGGCTGGATGGCGGTCTGGATGAATGACTGACTGATTGATCGACTTGCTACTACTTGTAATATTCAACTTACTAAAGTCTGGACTAGAATACCGGTTTATTTTGAGAGACAGAGTGTCTGGTAATTTTCCTTCGGTTCTGTGTCTATCGCATCCACATTTGCATCCTACTTTGCTTCCTACCCTTCCTCCTCCACCTCCTCATAGAGCTCGACCTCCATATTCGCCTCCGCCTCCACCTTACTTGTCACCGGTTGGAGGATTGGTAGTCCTACTGCAAAAAGACAAAACACAGTAGTTAGGGATGACTACCAGATAGGAGTGCATTTGGACTGAAGAGATGACAGCTGCCACCTGTCCGCCGGTTCATGAATATCTAGACAATAATTCTTAGTTAAATAGTCAAAGAGGTTGCACTCGGACTCCTTCTTCATCACTCAGTGTCGTCGTCATCGAACCCTGCACGACAGTACCGATCGGTTAGACCACGCTCCTAGCTGATTGCTATAGACGAGGCCTGAGAAAGTGTGTAAATGT